CTTTCAATTTTTTTTAACCCCTCTCTGATCAGTTTTAGAGGCAGAAAATTTTCAGACAAAGTTTCTTATCTTTCCCTCAAGGAAATGTGGCAGAAAGAAACTAAAAGTCTGAAGAATTACCAAACCACCCCTTCTGGTTATTGACCTTGGGTTATGGAGGCTTCTGGAGAATGTCCACCAAGATGGTGGCCTTTGCCACCTCATTCTTGGGATTTTTCTGGGTCATCTGGTTCTCCCGGTAGTAAAGGCTGAGTATTTCTCTCTTTAGATTGCACTGGAAGCAGGGACAAGAGAAGCGTCAGGTTGTGACGTTCACCAGGATGGTTATTTTCCTCTTGAACCCCACGTTAATCCACTCCTAATTAATTTCCCCATGAGGTATCACTAACAAAGAGTGTCTTCTCCATCACTGTTATGCCGAAAAGGCACATCCACAAATACTGACTGAATGCCTCTTCTCTGCCTGGAATTGTGGGAGACCCCAACACAACAACAAAAATCACGTGATCCTTGTCTTCAGGGAGCTTGCTGTGTTATAAGGGATTCAAGCCTTTCAGAAAACAGAAGTCTTTTTTAAGCTGTACAGACCTTTCTGTTATTGTACTGAAGGAACAAGAACAACATGTCAAGTTGTAAATCAAGATTCCGGTATTTCCAAGAGAAGAAAAATTTTAAAAGGACTGAGAACATCAGACAGGAGGTCTTCTGGACTGGACACCAAACCTGGGCAAACATGAGGGGAGAGCAGGGAGCCAATAGCCCCGCCTCCCGGAGAAGGCAGGGCAAGAAAACATTCGATGAAGTAATGGCAGGGCCAGTGGGAGGGCCGGAGAGCCCAAATCGGGACTGCAGGCTGTCAGGCAAGAGGGAAATATTGTCCATTACTAAACAGAATTACAAAGTGGGTTACCATAAGAGCTTGCTAGAAAAGAGGCCTCCAGCCTAATTTGACAGGGAGGTGGATAAGTCAAAGAGCAAACCCAAACGAGTAGGCAGAGAATGAGGCAAGGACCTAACTGAGTGTGTGACTGGCCTCACCCTTTAGAGACATCTGCCTACCACTCTGTACACGTCCACAAACAGATGCTGGGCCTGCAAGCTCCACAGGGCCGGTGTAGCCAAAAGCTTCAGCAGAGGGGACGCGCTACCTTGCTCTGTCACGGACTCAGGACGGCTCCGAGGAAGTTACTAGTTTGCAACCAATCGATGCATGTGGAGAGAATGGTACAGGACGAAGGAAAAGTCTCCACAGCTCGAGAAAAATCTTCAAACGGGAGGGAGACACACCTACACTCGGGTAGGAAAGCACAGATTAGACTAACCCAAATACGGAAGTGCAGACCTCCAGAGAGAGAGGACAGGAGCCAAGGGGACAACACTGCTTGGGGCTCCTGTTAACAACAGAGCTCTGGGCCTTGCATGATCCCATGATTCCAAAGGGGCAGGGGCCATGGTGTCCAACCCCAGAGCACCCCTTATTCTGAACACCAAAACTACTAGATTTGAATGAAACTATGCAGCCAGATAGATTAACTCTGTGGTGCCTCTGACAATTAAACCCTTACAGTTATCACTTAATAACTCTAGTCATCATAAGGAATATTCCAAGCAGAAAAATTAAATGTTAACAGATGATTATTTATGAAAAATCTTCCCCTGAAAAAATAATGAACTTCTCTTCCTTGTTTTTCATAGTTCTTCTAACTTTCTACACAGGAGTCATCAAAGCAAAAAATGGCAGACTTGTAAGTACAAAGGCAAGGGTAGAACTGGTTCTGGGGTTAATTCAGGGAGAGCTCGATCACGTGAGCCTTGGTTTTACCATCTGCAAAGTGGAGGGGGTGATTTTGGTGTAACTGCTGTATGCACTTCTCCCATGCAAAGATAATAGAATGAAGAACTGATGCGCGCTGCAGCAAGGATGAACTTTGAAAACCTTACGCTCGGTGAAAAAAAACAACAACAACACAGACAAGGGGCCCAGCAGTATGATTCTATTTATATTAAATATCCAGAATAGGCAAATTCACAGAGACAGAAAGCAGATTAGTGGTTGCCAGGGGGAGGGGAGGTAGGCTGAGGAGGGTCACTGCTTAGGGAGTACAAGGTTTCCTTTTGGGATGATGAAAAATTTCTGGAACTAAATGATGATGGTTGTGCAACACAGTGAATGTACTTAATGTCAATGAAATGTGTACTTGAAAGTGGTTAAAACGGTAAGGTTGATGTTATATATATTTTCCTACAACAAAAGAGAGAGACATTAACTGCCTGGCCATCTACTCCACCCATAATAAATGCCTTATTAACAAAAGGTACAAATTTATTAAGGTGATCACAATTGTGGCTAAGCCGCTGACCTAGGTTTTCCATCTTCATTTTAGTGAGGGCTGTCTTGGACAAAACTGTCGGAAACATCTAGCTCCCACCTTTCTGGGAGGGCTGTAAAAGGCTGTCTTGTGCAGGCATCTGCCAAGTTGAGCTGCGAGTGGCAGGAGCCCAGAGAGCTCTAGAGTGGGACAAGAAGCAGTCCCCGCACCAAAAATCTCATGGCAGGTTTAGGAGCATGGTCTCTGCCACTGTGGCTCAGAAAGCATCGACTCCAAGTGCGGCATGCTGGGAAAAGGGTAACTAACGCATTCAACAAATATTTTTTGAGTATCTATAAGCTGAGCAGTGGGCTAGATGATTTAATTATAGGGATGAACTAGAAGGTAACAGTCCCTTTTGTCAAGGAAATTACAATCTAGACTGCAAGACAGTTAAGAACCAAGAATTATATAAGGTTGGGTAGGCAACTCACTCAACACGATTATTAGGCAACAACTAAAGCCCACCTGCCTCCCATGTCAGAATCCACCAGGATTATAGCCCTGGACCCCACACCCAAGAGACCGGCCTCTGCAAAGTTGGGATGTCAAATGGAGGCTGATGGTGGGGAGCTCAACCTGGGGGCTTTGGCGGAGAGGACCAGCCCGGCCCCTAGAAGACCAGACTCTAATCTGAGTGAGAACACTTCTCTCTTCCCCTTGCATATGAACTAGCCTGCTCCCTAGACAGAGCATAGCTCTGTAGGCTATCTTGTGGCTCCCCAAACAATAAAACTAGTGTCTATGCTATGGGATTCAGTGGGTTCCAGGAAGAGGCTTTCATTGACAGAATTTGCTAAAATGTGATGCTCAATCTTCTGAAAATTTGCCCTTTATTCTCACTATCTATCAATCAATCGACCTAGAGTCAATCTAGTTTCTAGATGATGGTTCTCTCTGGTCGAACCTACATGGGATGCATTAAAAAATATGGATTCCCGGGGCACCTGGGTGGCTCAGTCAGTTAAGCATCTGCCTTCAGCTCAGGTCATGATCCCAGGGTCCTGGGATCAAGGCCCAAATCCAGCTCCTTGCTCAGCGGGGAGTCTGTTTCTCCTTCTCCCTCTGCTGCTCCCCTGCTTGTGCTCTCTCTCTCTGTGTCAAATGATAAAATCTAAAAATAAACAAATACATAAATAAAAAGATAATAAACATATTGATTCCTGGGCCTCTGCATAGACAAAATGTTTCTGAACATCTGGAGTGCGCATGGCATCAAAATGTTTTTAAAGTACCCCAGGTGATTCTCAGGCGGGAGCTGCCAGGACTGAGAACCACTCGTTTAGGATAAGAAGGAAAGGGAACTGGATTTATCAAGTACCTACCCTGGGCCACTGCTAGCTCTTTACATACGCTATCTATAGCTACAGGTGCCCCTTTCATAACCTCTTGGACTTGTTCTGCCCATGAGCATTATGGGCCCTAGGAGGAGCACTCAACCTTGGAGGGACAAGTGATTAGGAATAGATACCCCAGTTTCCTTACCCCTTGGGTCAGATAACTTTGAGGCATACTTTAAACCTGGGGTAAGAAAAGTAGTTCTGCAAGGGGCCAGAGAGTTAATATGTTAGGATTTGTAAGCCATAGTCTTTGCCTCAACTCCTCAAATCTGCCTTTGCAGTGCAGAAGTAGCCAAGGCCAGTGCTAAATAAATGGATTTGGCTCCATCCCACTGAAACTTTATTTACAAAGACAGACTGCAGGCCAGAGTTGGCCAACCCCTCCTCTGAGTCTAGAGAGACTCCCAGAGGTCTTAGCAGGACTGGGTTCCAGCCGCCCACAGCAGTAGCCCGTCAGTAACAAACCACGTGGGTTCAGGCCTTTCCTGTGTGCTCCTGGGAGCACTGGCTAGAGAAACAGCTCACACTCAAATGTTCGTCTCAGAACCTGCTTCTGGAGGTGCCTAACCAAAGGCAGGATCTTGTTTTATATTCATAACTACCCTTGTGGTTAAAGATTATCATCTTCAATTTAAATGGGATAAATTAAGATTCAAAGATTACACAATTCATAAGTGATGAAGTCCAGATTAGAAGTGTATTTAGCTACAAAGTCAATGATCTCTCTAGAGTATGACCAGAGTAAGGATGGATACAAATACACACACACACTCTCTCTCTCTCAAATCTATGATTCTAATTATGGCGGGCAAGAGTACCACAGATGGCGAATTATAATGCAAAATTCACGCTATTCATGTAATTACTGATCTACATTAAGGAAGGGGTTTTTAAAAAAAATAACACTCTAAATAGTAAGGTTGGAGGGTTATGAAGAAATTACCCTCTTTTATGCTGTTTCGAATGTAGGACAGAATTCCTTTCCTACCTGTCAACTGGTTGCAATCCTGGTGCTATTTCGTCTCTGGTGTAATCTTTGGTTACACCTGAAAACAAATATAGCCACCCAAGGTAAAGGTCAGGGTGCAATTTGGAACTTGAAGAGACAGGAACCAGATGAAAATATCCTCTTACACATCTTAACATGAGGGGTAGGAACGGGGGAGGACAGTAATTTCACAAAGTCTCCTTCAAGGCATTTGTGAAGTTCCCTTGTGGATCCCAAGGACTCCAGAGAACACTCTCGAGAAGCCAGAATCGCTCCAGCTAGAAACCAATCTTTTTAGCTTACGCGGTCTTGCCCTCGCTGTCCTGCTTGGTGGCACTGGCCCCCTTCTTGCCCAGCAGGGAGGCCACCTTCTCCGCATCTCCGTTCTCCACAGCCTGGAGCAGCCGGTCATCATTCTTGTTCCACTCGTTGGTCTGTGGAGCAAAGGGGAGAGGCAGAGCTAGTGAACAACAGTGGCCACAGTCACACTGACCAGCAGGACCCCGGTCCTCCCGGTTTCCACCCTCCCGTCACTGAAATCAAAACCTGCCCCCAAATCAGATACCTTCCCCTTCACCGTGGAGACACTCAAGAAGACTGGTTTCCCAAAGGAAAACATCAACAGTTCAATGGAACAGCAGCTGGTCAGCAAACCCTGAAATAAAGTCACTTCTTCTCAGGGAAGCTGGGAAAATGAAGCCACTTGAAAAGACTCTGAGGCAAGTTTACACATTAGCTTGCTTCCAGCTAAACTCTGACAGCTGGCTCCTCAGGATACTGGCCTTTGACCCGGGCCACAGCTCACTGGGCCCACAATGTTACAGAACCAAACTGGCCCAGAGCTCAAGGTTACTTGAGGTTTTATTTACACACAACTCTTCGCCTGCTTTCATTGCCACTCTTTCTGGCCTGTTCCCTGGGCCCTGATTTTTGAGCTGCATAATGATTTTAAGTAGTTGTCCGGACTACCGACTCAACAAAGTTATCATCAGAAAAAAACTTCTTCCTGAGCGAGCTATTAAACATCAAACAGCTTTGAGCAAAGCCTCCACCACTGCCAACCCCCAACCCCGACAGAATCATTCTGTGAACCACAGTAACAATAAAGCTTTCACGTGCATAAAAATTGGTTTTTACTCTTACAAAGGAAAAGAGGAGATCTCCATGCAAGAGCAAATGGGCCTTGAGTGAAGACCAAGAAGGTTCACATGTGAAAAGGCAGCAGTGAGCCACTGAAGGTTTTGGAACAGAGAAGGGAATAAAATCAGCGATTGAAGAAGAGTCATGGAGAGGTATACAGGATTAATTCAGGGAGAAAAGATTCTGGGGCACATCCTGGGGCCCCTGGGTCACTCTGCAGGCCGGCCTACCCTCCAGACCTCTCCTAGCTAAGCCTACTTTCTGGCCCCTCCCGCTGTGGATACCAACACCCTTAGAAAGATTCCTTCTCCCTTTTCAAAACTTTCTGCAGGGCTCTCTGCTTCCTTGTGACCTCTGAAGATTAAAAACCGCCAGGCATTTAATTTTAAAGGCTTGGCCATGGACCACTGCATGGAAGCCGACCGACAGAGACGCTGGAAATTTGACAGTTAACAAGAGGGAAATTTTACAGGACTACAACCTTCCACAGCCCGAGGAGCGTGTTCCCAATCTTTCTGCACTGATGGAACTGGGAAACCCAATAGGGCTCCATCCTCTGATACAGCAAAGGTGGGTCTACAAGATGTCCCAGGCACCCCTCCAACTGCAGCCTAGAGGCAGGGCCTTAGAGAAAGCCACAGACCATGGGGGAGTAAAATAGAGGTGCGCAGGGTTAAGGTACGGAATTTGCTTCGAGGCTCAGGACTGGGCCACTCCCATTTCTCAGGACTCCCTCCTCCCCAGAGCCATCACTGAGTGTGAGAACACAGGAATGAGGAGATAGGTTGAAATGAAAATCAGAAGTCTGTCCTCTAGGCTGCATGAACTAGAAATCTAGCAGTCTAGATTGATACTTCCATGCTATGGACCTTAAGTCACCCAAACCTCTCAAGCGCCTCAGTTTCCCGAGGCTTTGGACCAGATGACTACTCTTGATTCCTCTAAAGCTCAAAAATGCTTACTCTATAAAATGTCTGCCAACCAAACTTTGCTGGAGATTATTCTAGAACAGTATTGTCTTTGTTCATGGAAATGTTTTATATCTGCACTGGACAAACTAAGCAAGTTATCCTCACCCAGGGATGATTTTGTTCCTCTGCGGACATTTGGCAATCTCGGCAGACATTTTTGATTGTTGTGACTACATGCTCCTGGCCTCTAGTAGGTGGGGCCAGGGGTGCGGCTAAACATTCTGCAATGCATAGGACGACTCCCCCCCCCCCACAAAGAATTATCTGGCCCAAATGGTCATTATCACATTAGCCACATACGGCTACTGAGCACTGGAAATGTGGCTTGTATGACTAAGGAATCGAATTGTTAATTTTAGACTTCCAGAGCCAGTAGCTAGAGGCTATCATATAGAACAAAGCAGCTCTCTAAATATTTTTAATAAGTTAAGAATGGGTCTATGCCAATGTCATCCACACTTCTTCAACTATCAATACACTCACAAAGACAACGTCATGTCCTATCTTCAATGACAAATCAGGCTTCCTATTGCAGAAGAACACAATACGTATACTGCCTCAAGGACAAGCGTTTGTTGGTAGAATAGGAAGCTCTACCTAAGAACGAAATGTAGCCAACACCAAGAAACAGACTGATTTCCCCCAGACAGCATTTAACAAGCCAAAACAAAACAAAAAATTCATCAAAGTACATTCAGGACCAATGGTTTCTTGCTACATTATCCCAAAGCCACATTATTAGTGTTGTCTTTAAATCCTTCCCTAATTTAAACTGACCAACTTAAAACTGGATCGGGAAGATCAAAGGGATATTGAACCTCAGAGGGTGTGACTGAAAGTCCTCAAGCAAAGAAAGGCCGCATGAAAGGATTTTCCTTTTCAGTGCCGCTAAGGCACTGAACTCCACTGAACTCGGGCAGAGTAAAATCTGGTTGTAGGGATTCCCTAAAATTAGTTACATGTGGATATTTAGGGAGTTCAGTTTCTAGAGGACACAGCAAGAAAGATGCCTGCCGCCCCCCCCCCCAACCCTCTGGAGGACAAGGTCAATGGCACATCCCTTGAGATCTAAAATTCTTCTCTTTCATCTAGTGTCTCCTCATTGCAGGCCCAAAGTTACTCTCCTGTTAGAACAGATGAACACAGCTACCCACACGTGTACAAAGATTTAATAAATAATCCACACCCCCATTCAACCTGTCTGTGCTGCAGAGGGGGTTCACTGTTAAGCAGCAGGAAGGAAACAGATAGGTACTATACAGGAAACGGATGGGTGCTATATATATTGGCCTTAGAATCAGAGCCAAGAGAACAGTTCAGAACAAATCAGGAAGGCAGGAGCAAACCTGAGGAAGAAACTGGGGGAGAACATAGACCATTGGCTGGGAAATGAGCGAAAAGTTAAGAGTTTACTCTTAAAATTCTCCCAAGCATGCTAAAAGTGGGGGACAAGAAGGATCTCAATTTGTCCTCGCTCTAACCCAGGAATCCAGATTCTGAAATGACATTACCCAGCCTGTTGGCCAGCACTCATAAGGAGGTGATGCTAATGTGACTGAGCTCTCTAGTCCTGGGCCAGGCGGCTGGTGATACTTGTAAGTAGTTCTGACATGCACCATGGGCCGTACCATGTTTCCTCCCAGAAAGCATGGCTTTCAAGGTGCTATCACCTTCCTCTCCTAAACCCGTTCATGGGGATCGTCGTTGTATTTTCTCCCATAAAACCATTCTACCCAGTGCTACATTCCATACCAAAAATTCCACGGCCATCCACAGGATGAGATAAAATAGATGTTTAATACTTTTAAGGTGCTCTATTGAGAATCTAGAAGCAAATTCTTCTCATCCACCTCTATCCCTCTGCTAAGTGGTACGAATTTGAAACCAAGCATCAAAAGGAATCTTAAAAAGTTATCTTGCCCAATTTACTGACTCACAGTAGGGTTGGTCAGATAAATAGGTTGTGATATTGTGATATGAGAATTATAGATTTGGTTCTGTCCCTGGTTCCTAGCACTAGAGCTTCTAAAATCCATGAATTCCCTGAGTGATAGGGCTGAAGTGTATCTTTTGTTATTCATAATAAGCCCCTTACATGAGTTAATGTTAATGACATGACTGGTGGCTGGAAGCCCCTAAATAGCTTCAGGATGGGGACTGGTTGCCAAGGGAATTAACCATGTTATTAGAGGGTTAGAACCTAACTCCACCTCCAGGGAGGGGAGAGGGTTTAGAGATTGAGTCAATCAGCCAATGGCCAGTGATTTAATCCATTATGCCTATATAATGGAACCTCCTTAAAAAGCCTTAACCCACTCTCAAACCACAGGGTTCAGAGAGCTTCCAGGTTGGTGAACTCATCAGGGTGCTGGGGGGAGGATGCTGCTGGAGAGGGAGTAGAAGCACGGCGTGTACGCACCCACACACACATCCCCGGTCTTGCCGTGTGCCTTTCTTCCATTTGGCTGTTCCTGATTTGTATTCTTTATAATAAACTTAGTAATACTAAGCAAAGTGCTTGAGTTCTGTGAGCCTGTCTCACAAATTATCAAACCTGAGGCATGGGCTGTGGGAACCCCCCAACTTCAGAGCTCGTTGGTCAGATGTACAGTTGGCCCAGATGTAGATGGCATCTGAAATGGGAGCAATTTTGTGGGACTGGGCCCTTAACTGGGGGATCTGACAATACCTCGAGGTCATTAGTGTCAGAACTGAACTGCATTGCTGGGACACCTTGCTGGTGCCGGAAGAGCTGGAGGACTGGTTGTGGGTATAGAGAAAACCGTTTGGTGTCAGAAGTAGATCATATGATAGGTGAAGTTTGAAATTCTGCCATAACAACGCAATGTAATTCACTCATACTCTAGTATCAGGGAAGGCTTCTGGAGACCATCACCACACAAATATCCCACCCCCCTCACCACTTCCCATGGAAATCCCCTCCTCTAAATGGCACTCCCTCCATAGGGCGGCTTAGCTCTGCCTCCACACTGGGCTCCTGGTCCCCTTAGAATGGTGGTGTCAACCTGCAAGCGGGTTCATCCAACATTTAACAAACATGAGTTAGAAAAAAACAGCAAACATCAGATGCACCATATTTAATCAAGTTAAATGTTTCATGAAACTTTTGATTATGTATGCATCTTGGGCGGTGATATAAATATGTATTTTTACTGGGGAATCACAAGAAAAAACATTGGATGACACTGCTTTAGAATGCTCTGTCATCCCATCGGCCAACGAAAAGGCTTCCTTCTAAAGCCTACCTCAAGCCCTGCAGGCTCTTCACGCCTTTCGTGGTGACGTCTCTCTGCTTCTCTCCT